CCATGCTGGCTGTTCCTGATCACTTTCCTCTCATGCAAGTGCTTCAGGATTGATTCTTTGAGGACCTGCTCCATGATTTTTCCAGGGACTGAGGTGAGGCTGACTGGCCTGTAGTTCCCAGGATCCTCCTTCTTCCCTTTTTTAAAGATTGGCACTACATTAGCCTTTTTCCAGTCATCCGGGACTTCCCCCGTTCGCCACGAGTTTTCAAAGATAATGGCCAATGGCTCTGCAATCACAGCCGCCAATTCCGTCAGCACTCTCGGATGCAACTCGTCCGCCCCATGGACTTGTGCACGTCCAGCTTTTCTAAATAGTCCCTAACCACCTCTATCTCCACAGAGAGCTGGCCATCTCTTCCCCATTTTGTGATGCCCAGCGCAGCAGTCTGGGAGCTGACCTTGTTAGTGAAGACAGAGGCAAAAAAAGCATTGAGTACATTAGCTTTTTCCACATCCTCTGTCACTAGGTTGCCTCCCTCATTCAGTAAGGGGCCCACACTTTCCTTGGCTTTCTTCTTGTTGCCAACATACCTGAAGAAACCCTTCTTGTTACTCTTGACATCTCTTGCTAGCTGCGCAATGCTAGATTAGCGCAATGGGCTAAGACTCAGGATTCCTGGGTTCTAAAAATGGGAACAAAGATGATGCAGGTAATTATAGACCAGGCAGGTTAACTTTGATAGCTGGAAAGCTATTGGAACAAGTTATTAAATAATCTATTTGTAAGCACCCACAGGGGAACAGGTTTCCAAGCCAGCATGGATTGGTCAAGAACAAATCGTGCCCAGCCAACAGGGTTACTGGCTTAGTGGATGTGGAGAAGCAATAGACGTGATATATCTTGATTTTAGTCAGGCTTTTGACACCATCCCATGGGATATTCAAGCCAGGGACGTGCTCTAGGTGAAATTACGACAAGATGGGCACACAACTGGTTGACAGACAGTGCTCAGAGAGTAGTTAGCAATGGCCCACTGTCAAACTGGGAGAGTGGAGCTAGTGAGGCCCTGCAGGGGTCAGTCCTGGGTCTGGTACTCTCAATATTGTCATTAATGACATGGATAATGGAGAGAAGACGATGCTCACAAAATTTGTGAATGACACCAGGCTTGGAGGGGTTGCAAGCACTGTAGAGGCCAGGCTTAGAATTCAAAATGACCTTGACAAATTAGAGAACTGGTCTGAAATCCTTAGACCTTAGTCCACCCGTGCTTTGCTGCACATTGGGCTACCCACATTTGCCCTCCTTGCCTGTCAACTGCCCTTCACTCCAAATCTTCCCATTTCATGTTGAGGTGCTTGATGTCGTTCAGAACTGTTCATTTCCATGTTATTCATGCTCTTCCTCTCTTTAATTTTTTTCTTGCGTTTTCTGGCTTCCATTCAAAGGCGATATTTGGTAAGCGTTCTTTTTCCATTCTCAGCACATGTCCCAGCCGTTGATGTCTCCTTTTGTAGATTATTTGTGAGAGGGTACCTTGTCCAGTAAGTTTTCTGACTTCTTCATTCGTAGTTCATACATTCCAGGTAGCTATGGATGTACTCTTTTTGGCCGTGAGAATTTGGACCATCGTGGATGACTTCCCGATGGATTTGATCATCCACTGTCATATGCGCATGTGAATGCTTTCCATCCTCCTCAGGCCATGATTTTTGGTTTATGTGAGTAGTTTCTGGTGCTAGAACTTATTATTATTATTATTTATTATTATTATTATTTTTTTTTTACGGAGACAGGAAGCTGCCCCATCGACCAACCCTCCTCCTTTCTGATCCGGGCTTGGGACTGGCACTGGCGGAGCTGGTCTGAAATCAGCAAGATGAAATTCAACGGAGAAAAGTGCCATGCACTTTACTTCGGAAGAAAAAAATCAAAGGCACCACTGCAAAACGGGGCATCACTGGCCAGGCAGTCATACTGCTGAAAAGGCTCCGGGAGTTACAGTGAATCACAAATTGAACATGAGTCAACAATGTGATGCTGTTTCGCACCCAGGATAAATAGGTATAAATATTTATATAGGTATATTTATATATTTATATAAATATATTTATATTATTTATATTATAAATATAATATATTTATATAAATATATTTATATTATTATTATTATATATTTATAAATATAAATAGGTAAATACCTATTTATATTTATAAATAGGTAAATATACCTATTTATAAATATTCCAAATATTTGCTTACCGTTTCCCTAGGGGGCTGTGATGTTGTGTGTGACCTGCTTTGAGATGCTCAGATGAAAGGGGCGGTGTTAGCTGTGATATTCTCTTAGCCTCTCATAGCCCTGGTCAGTTGGAAGCTCCGGGAGGGGTGTGATTTCTCTCCACCCTCAATACTCTTTCAGCCCCTCTTCTTTGATTGTTTGTGTTTGGCTAGGTGGGGCGTTGGGAGCCCTTTGAAGGGCTGCACTTTGGCACAAACAGCGCAGATAAATGTAACCTGATCTTCGGACTATTAATGGTGGCAGGAACCGCCCTGTGCTGAGGCCATGGTTATCTGCATGGGAATAAATGCCATCGGCAGTCGCCCGGGGTCTAGTGATCAGAGCATACAAGTGTCAGGACTCCTGGGTTCTATTCCTGGCTTGGCCACAGGCTGCCATGATGATGTCATGGTATCCTCTCGCCCTGAGGATAACCCTCCAGGGGAGGGAACCCCAGTGATTAGGAAGAGACAGGTAATAGTAATGGAGGATTTGACTATTCAGCTGGGTTTGAGACATCTAAACAGACCTACGTGTCGTGGTGGGGAGGAGCTGGTGCCAGGGAAGTACCAGTGACATTGGGAAAGGTGGAAGAGAGGTCCTGGAAGCTATAGGCGGCAGGTATAAGCCTCCCCTGGTGCAGCCGCCGCAGATCTATAGCCAGATGCCTGGGCCCGCCGTGGTGGCCCTGCCTTTTCCCGTCCCTGCTCTGCCTCTTCCCCAAGGCCCTCACTGCCGGGCCACTGCCTGGCTGAGTCCCGCATCTCCCCCACTCCAGTCTCCACCATCCCCCTCCGGAGGTCCACGCTGCTCCCTGCATCCCTCCTCTCCTCCACTTCCCCTCCCCCACGAGGCCCCCCCGCCACTCTGTCCCTGCGGGCGGTGGGGGCCTCGTGGGGGAGTGGGGTGGAGGAGAGGAGGGACGGGGGGAGCAGTGGGCGGTGGGGGCCTCGTGGGGGAGTGGGGTGGAGGAGAGGAGGGACGGGGGAGCAGTGGGCGGTGGGGGCCTTGCTGGGGAGGAGAGAAGGAACGAGGTGGCAGGGAGGCTGAGCAGGGGTGGGGCCTGGGGCAGAGTAGGGGGTGGGGCCTAGGGTGGAGAAGGGGTGGAGTGCGGGCGGGGCTTCAGGCGGAAGAGGCGGGACCCCAGGCAGAAGAGGCAGGACAGGAAGCTAGCCTCTCCCAGGTGAAGCTTCACCCGCCACCCATACTGCAAGCCAAATTTAGGCTGCTAGGGAAGAGATTAAAGTCCAAGACCTCCAGGGTAGCATTCTCTGAAATGCTTCCAGTTCCACATGTAGGGCCAATTAGACAGGCAGAACTGCAGGGTGTCAATGCGTGGATGAGATGATGATGTACAGAGGAGGGATTTAGGTTTATTAGGAACTGGGAGACCTTTTGGGGAAGGAGCCTATCCAGGAAGGCTCCACCTAAACCACAATGGAACCAGATGGCTGGCACGTCAAATTAAAAAGGTCGCAGAGGAGTTTTTAAACTAAGGGCTGGGGAAAGCTGACAGGTGAGAGGAGGACGTGGCTCAGACAGAGACATCCCTTAAGGGAGGATTTATCCAAGGGGATTCTCTATGTCCTAGTAAAGAGGATAGGATAGAAATCGACAACGTACGTGTAGAAACTGAAGAGAAACAGTCAAACAAAAAGGAGCCCAATTTAACTAAACCACATTTAATTTAGACAACTAAATATTGACAAATTTGATAAGTGTTTGCATACAAATGCTAGAAGTCTAAATACTAAGTTGGGTGAACTTGAGTGCCTTGTGTTAAATGAGGATATTGATATAACAGGCATCACAGAAACTTGGTGGAATTATGATAATCAATGGGACATGGTAATACCAGGGTATAAAATATATAGGAATGACAGAGTGGGTCGTGCGGGTGGGGTGTAGCATTAGATGTGGGGGGGAAAAAAGAGTCAAATATAGTAAAAATCTTAAATGAATCAAACTGTACCACAGAATCTCTTTGGATAGAAATTCTGTGCTTGAATAATAAAAGAATAGCAGTAGGAATATACTACCGACCTCCTGACCAGGATGGTGCCAGTGACTGTGAAATGGTCACGGAGATTAGACAGGCTACAAAAACAGACAACCCAATAATAATGGGGGATTTCAACTATCCCCATGTTGACTGGGTACATGTCATCGCAGGAAGGGATGCAGAGATCAAGTTTCTAGAGACTATAAATGACTGCTTCTTGGAGCAGTTAGTTCTGGAACCCACAAGAGGAGAGGCAATTCTTGATTTAGTCCTAAATGGCATGTAGGCTCTGGTGCAAAAGGTGAGTATTGCTGAACCACTTGGTGATAGCAACCACAATGTAATTAAATTTAACATCCTTGTAGGGGGGAAAATACTAAGAAGCCCACCACAGTAGCATTTAACTTCAAAAAGGGGAACTGCACAAAAACGAGGAAGCTAAGTTAAATGGAAATTAAGAGGAACAGTCACAAGAGTGAAATGCTTGCAAGCCGCATAGAAACTATTTAAAAAGACCATAAAAGAGGTTCAAACTAAATATATACTTGAAATAAATAAATAGATAAAAGAGTAAGAGGACCAAAAAATGCCACCATGAACTGAGTATAAGAGGTAGACAGAGGCAAAAAGGCATCCTTTAAAAATTGGAAGTCAGAGCCTACTAAGGAAAATAGACAGGACTGTAATTTCTGGCACGTCAAGTGTAAAAGTATAATTAAGCAGGCCAAAAAAAGAATCTGAAGAGCAACTAGCTAAAGACAAAAAACTAAACAGTAATATTTTTATTTATTTATTTATTTTTATAGTACATCAGAAGCAGGAAGCCTGATAACAATTATTGGGGCCATGGGAGCACTCAAGGAAGACAAGGCTGTTGCAGAGAAGGTAAACAAATCCTTTCCATCGGTCATCACTTCAGAGGATATGAGGGAGATTCCCACATCTGAACCAGTCTTTTTAGGTGATAAATCTGAGGAACTGTTGTCCCAGATTGAGGTGTAAATAGAGGAAGTGTTGGAATAAATTGATAAATTAAACAGTAGTAAGTCACCAGGACCAGATGGTATTCATCCAAGAGTTTTGAAAACTCAAATATGAAATTGCAGAACTCCTAACTGTGGTATGTAACCTATTGCTTAAATCACCCTCTGTACCAGATGACTGGAGGGTAGTTAATGTGACACCGATTTTTAAAAAAGCCTTCAGATGTGATCCTGGCAATTACAGGTTGGTAAACGTAAGTTCAGTACCAGGCAAACTGGTTGAAACTGTACTCGAGAACAGAATTATCAGCCATATTGAGAAGATATGGTGGCTTTTGTAAAGGGAAATCATGCCTCACCAATCTATTCGAATTCTTTGAGGGTGTCGATAAGCATATGGACAAGGGGGATCCAGTTGATATAGTGTACTTGGACTTTCAGAAAACCTTTAACAAAGTACCTCAACAAAGGCTCTTAAAGCAAAGTAAGCAATCAAACTTTTCGTCTCATGGATCAGTAAATGGTTAAAAGGTAGGAGTAAATGGTCAGTTTTCACAGTGGAAAGAGGTAAATAGTGGGCCTTCTAAGGATCTTTACGGGGACCTGTGTGCTGTTCAACATACTCCTAAATGATCTGGAAAAGGGAATGAAGTGAGGTGGCAAAATGTGCAGATGATACAAAACTACTCAAAATAGTTAAGCCCAAAGCTGATTGCCAAGAGCTACGAGGGGAATCTCACAAAACTGGGGCAAGTGGGCAACAAAATGACAAATGAAATTCAGTGTTGATAAGTGAGAAGTAAGGCCCATTGGAAAACATCATCCCAACTCTACACACACAATGATGGGGTCTGAATTAGCTGTTACCACAGAAGAAAGAGATCTCGGAGTCCTTGTGGATAGTTCTCTGAAAACATCCGCTCAGTGTGCAGCAGCAGTCCAAAAAGTGAACAGAATGTTGGGAATCATTAAGAAAGGGATCAATAACAAGACAGAAAATATCATGTTGCCTCTCTATAACTCCATGGTACGCCCACATCTTTAATACTGCGTGCAGTTCTGGTTGCCCCATCTCAAAAAAAAAAAAAAAAAAAGATATATTTGAATTGGGAAAGGTACAGAGAAGGACAACAAAAATCAGTAAGGGTATGGAACAGCTTCTGTATGAGGAGAGATTAAAAAGCCCAGGATAGCTCATGCTGGAAAAGAGATGACTAAGGGGGGATATGATAGAGGTCCATAAAATCATGAGGGGTGAGAGGAAAGTGAATAGGGAAGTGTTATTTACCCCTTCACATAACACAAGAGCCAGGGGTCACCCAATGAAATTAATATGCAGCAGTTTAAAACTAACATAAGGGAGTACTTCTTCACACAATGCACAGTCAACCTGTGGAACTCCTTGCCAGGGGATGTTGTGAAGCCCAAAAGTATAACTGGGTTCAAAAAAATTAGATAAGTTCCTGGAGGATAGGTTCATCAGTGGTTATTTACCAAGACGGTCAGGTAAAAGCAACCCCATCCTCTGGGTGTCCCATAACCTCTGACTATACTCTGATTTAGATTAAATCTCTGGAACAGCTTCCTAACTGTAAGCACAGTAGGACAATGGAACAGACTGCCTAGGGAGCTGTCGAAACTCTTTTGTTGGAGGTTTTTCAAGAGGCTGGATGGCCATCTGTCTTGGATGGTTTATTCCCAACAAATCCTGCATCTTGGCAGAGGGTTAGACTAGATGACCCTTGTGGTCCCTTCTAGCCCTATGATTCTATGACTGCCAGAAATTGGGAGTGGACAACAGGGGATGGGTCATTTGATAATTGGCTTGTTTTGTTCATTCACCCTGAAGCATCTGGCACTGGCCACTGCTGAAAGACAACTAGGCTAGATGGCCCATTGGTCGAACCCAACACAGTCATTCTTATGTAATGTTCTTATGTTCCTAGATACTTTTGGATGTCACTTCAGATCAGAGCTCTGAGGCTTAGTCAATGAATGTTTCTGAAGTGCTTTGAGATCCTCACGCAGAAGGTGCATACAGAAATTTATTTATTTCACTGTAGCATCTAGAAACCCCAGCCGGGATCAGGTCCCCGTTGCGTCATGTGCTGCACAGACACACAGTGAGAGAGTCCCTGCCCCGAAGAGCTCAGTCTGAACAGACCAGAAAGATTATTATCCCCTTTTTACAGGTGGGGAAATTGAGGCCCAGGGAGATTAAACAATTTGATTAAGATCATACAGGGAGTCTGTGGCAGAGTCCGGAATTGAATCCACCTCTCCAGAGTTCCAGTCCAGTCGGCCTTAACCACAGGACCTGTCACCTTTGCTGCCCCATTTTGGTGTTACCATATGGCTGGCAGCCCAGGTTGCTTAATTCTGGTTTCTAACAATGAGACAATGTCTTTGTCTTCCAATAAATAACACCATAACAATTTTCTACAGCTGGAACCACATGCAGCCAGACTCCAGGTGGTGTGAATTGGCCAGAGCTCCATTGGAGTCAATGGGGCTAGATCCCCAGCTGGTGTGAATGAGCCCTGCTCCAGATCCTCTGCAGGTATAAATCAGCATCATTTCATTGACTTCAGTTGAGCAGTGTGGATTTACACCCACTGAAGAACTAGCCGTGAACATGTGTTCTAATAAACACATGCTCTGTTTAGCCCATATGACTGCTGTGAGGCATCTGCCCTCAATTATGAAAGGCCTAGGACAGCTACAATAGCAACTGGATATATTTACTATAAACCACAATTGGGGTGATTCATAGCATGGAAAATACAAACAAATACTTGAGTAGGGGCTATTTTGGCCAGTATAATTGCAGACCTTGCCCTCAGACATGTGTATTCATCACACAGAGAGGTGACCTCACGCAGGCCTAGCTAGGGCATATTTCACCATTCAGAGATAAACCTAGAAATGCCTTCTCCATTATACCCCAAGTGCAGGGTGTTGGATGTAACCTACTTTAGTTAGGCCCAAGTTATCGGGAAGAACAACTCCTTTGGTGACACCCACTAGAGAAAGATTTGCCTAGCAGGGAACAATGAGATGAAAATAGCTCACAAAGAGAAGAGGAAACGAATGTTATCCAAGTCCAGAGGTTAAAATTGCCAAGTGTGACTATAGAGAGGTGAGTTCAGAAGACGGTGGGAGTCCAGACTCCTGGGTTCCATTCCCTACTCCATGAACATGAACTCTGGAGGACAGATTGTGCTCTTGCTTATGTTGGAGCAACTCAGCTGAAGTGAAATGGAGTGACCAGGGCCAAGTCAGTGGGAGAGGACAATCTGGACCTGTGATTTCAGTGGAATTACTCCATATCTATGTGTCTAGAGCTGGATTTTTAAAGGGATTTAGGCACTTGGAAGTGCAGACAGGCACCTATTGGGATGTTGTGAAAGCCAAAAGTATAATGGGGTTCAAAAAAGAATTAGATGAGTTCCTAGAGGATAGGTCCATCAATGGCTATTAGCCAAGGAGGTCAGGGACGCAACCCCATGCTCTGAATGTCCATGGACTGTGCCCTGTGTGAAGTACTTCCTTAGGTTTGTTTTAAACCTGCTGCCTATTAATTTCATCAGGTGACCTCTGGTTCGTGTGTTATGTGAAAAGGGTAAATAACACTTCCCTATTCACTTTCTCCACACCGCTCTTGATTTTATAGACCTCTATAAAGTTATAAATAAAGGAACCTTTGGATAAGGCTGCTCCATTCGAGTGCTACAGGGATCCCGGAGTGTCTCAGAAACACACTCATTCTGAACCACCGAATGCTGGGCAGGCAGTCCAAGGTCACTTCATCACATGAGGTTACTTCTCTGATGATAACACTGCTTCTGCAAACAGCTGCTACTTTCTAGCACTAAGCAACCTGAGGATTGAAGCCGAAAGATTTAAAAGCGACCTTGCAAAGTCCGGGCTTCCAGTAGCTCAGACAGCATTAGCTCTTTGCTCTTTCCTGTCATCCAAGGATCTCAACGCACTTTACGATCATTCTTCAAACCAATCCCCACCCACCATCATAGTCCCCACTTTACAAATGGAACCACAGAGCTGGGGGAAGTGACTTGCCCAAGTTCAGAGAGTGAGTCTGTTGCAGCAGTGGGAATAGAACCCAGGCGTCCTGAACCATTAGCCAGCTGCAGGAGACCCAGCTTCAAGGCCTGCTCTGCCACAGGTGTCCTCTGTGACCTTGGGCCAGTCACTTAACATGTCTGTGCCTCACAGCCCCATCCTCACATCCCTCACGCAGGGGGGCTGTGAAGACAAAACACACTGTAATGATTATGAGACTCTCAGGTACTATGGTGACCATATAAGTACCAAGATACTGTGTTCACCTGCCCCTGAGCTGGGAGTCATGGCTCCTAGGCCCCTGCTCTGACCAGCAGGCCTTCACTATCTCCATGGAGATTTCAGTTTGGTTCTCCAGGACTTTTGAAGGATTCATCCATCTTTAAATAATGTAGGTGTTTATTGGCTAATGAGCTGTGGACTGAGATGTCTATGGCTGGGTAATGGACATCAGAGCTGAATCACCTGAGCCAGACTGCAACCGATGTAGCAATTAGTGTAATGGGGCAGATCCTGTGTGATGCAAACCCGTCATCAGGGCCTGATTCACTGCAGAGCAGGAAGGGGGTCGGCGAGCCTGGTTTTAACTGTGGAGTGGGAAAGGAGGGGGGGCGGAGATTATTATTTTTGCAGGGAGAGGTGGAGTTTGGCTTGTCTCTAGGACACACCCACCTGTAGACTCCCTGACATTTACGACTGTACGTACGTTTGTTTTGCGTTAATATGAAATCAGGAACTTGGAAAGACCCGTGAGCGGAGGTTTCCTTTTAAGAGTTGCTGGTTGGACCTTGGACCTTATCTGTGTTAGCAAAGTCTGGGTCCCAGGGGCAAGGGAAGGATCAAAGCTTAATGTGGGGGCTGGGCTGAAGACCCAAGAACAATACCAAAAAAGAGAGACCACAGATGTGAGCCTGGGACAGGCCAGTTGCTAGCAAAATGGGCATCGGAGGGCATCACGGCTGCAGCTGAACGAGCAGCCCAGGCCTCCTACCCTTACAAGGTCAGGAGGAGTTTGCACTGGCTTGGCATTTGTACTGGTCTCAATCCAGAGGAGGGAGGAAGGAAAAGTGGTTAGGGCGCTGACTTGTGACACGGGGATGCCCTCTTCTGCCATAGACTCCTTGGGTGACCTCAGCACAGGACACGGAGCCAGGGCAGAGGAGGGGAGAGGGTCACTCGGGCCATGGACTTTGGGCAAGTCACTTAATCCCTGTGGGCCTCAGTTCCCCATGCGTACAATGGGTGTGACATGCCCCTGTCTCAGACAGGTGTTGAAGGTTTTTGAGGGGCTCATCCACTCTGGTAACAGTGGCACCCAGAGAGATTGCATCTGTGGAATTCCTCTGGCTTTACGCCAATGCGGCTGAGATCAGAATCTGGCCCTGGGACCCTGACAGGAGGTGCTGGTGACTAGGAAGTGTTTAACGGGGGATGCCAGAAGGAGTGGGGGAGTTGTGCCTTAGCTTATGGCCCACCTCCCCCGTTGGTTGCTTTCCCTGCCACAACCCTCTTCTGGCAGGTAAATGACTTATCTGGCGTACTCGCCCACCGCCCGGTGGGTGCACATGGCACTGCTTTACCAGTCAGATCCTTTGTCCCAGAGGCTGTGCCAGGAGCTGTGTGTGTTTACACTGGCTTGGAACATCCCATCGTGCTCAAAAAACCACCAGCAGTTGCACTCGGATGGGTGGGTGGCTCCCCAGATGCTATGTTGGGCCTGTGACGTAGGGCAGAATGGGCGCGGCCCACTGGGCCTCTGTGGCCGCTGTTTACCCAGCTAACACGGGGCAAAGTTCATGTTTTACAGCCTGGCTCAGCTCCTTGCTCTCACGCCCCTACCCTGCTCGGTCCCTGCGGAACGTCTCCACCTCGTTCCCTAGCAATGCTTGTGTTCACAGGGAGCTATGGAAACGCTGAGTGGCGCGTGCCATCAGAGGAGCACTGAGCCAGCACCCCGCAGAGCCAGCCCTGGGCTTCTGTCGGAAAAGGTGAGTCTGTTTCAAAGTGACCTCATGCAGCGGGGGTGGGCGGGGTCTCAAACATACTGGGCCCACCTGTGAATTATTATCCCCATTTTACTGATGGGGAAACTGAGGCATGGGGAGGGATATTCCACATAGAGCCATTTTTCCCAAAGATGCCAGCAGCCACACTGGGAGCTGGAGTTTCAAAAGACCTCCGCACCTTGGGTGCTGCAAAGGGAGCAGCTTGGTGCTGAGCTCCCAGCTTTTTTGAAAATCCAGCTCCAATTATGGGTGCTGAGCCTTTGAAAAACTGGCCCTTAATGAGGAAATGCAAGACCTGGGAGTAGAACCCTGGGAGTCCTGACTCCCACGCTCCTGCTGTAACCCATACACCCCACCCCTGGGAATAGGCCCCAGGAGCCCTGACTCTCAGTCCCCTTGCTCTAATCAGTATGCCTCACAACCTCTATTTTAGCAAATGCCCTGCACATAGTTTTGTCTCCAGTGGTTCTTTATGCAATCTGCAAACATGAGAGAAGAATTCTCGGCTGGTTTCTGTGACCCACTGTGATGTTAGTCAGAATTCCTCAGCTGCAGCTCCTAATGGACAATTCCCCCCAAACATAGACACACCGAAATGTGTAGCTGCTAGTTGGAACATCTTGGGTCTCCCCAGCTAGGCTAGACATCTCCTGAGAACCAGGTCTCTCTTGGGGGCACGGGCAGTTCTGCCCGGATGCAGCAGATACTATGTGAACATGAGAAATAAGGAGTCCCGTGTTTCTGTGGAGTCAGTGCAAATGTGGGGGGGTGAAGGAGATGAAGAATTGGGTCAGTTTTTCTTTCTTACACTGCGCTTATCACTGGACTGAGGCCTAGATTCTCAAAGGTATTGAACCCCCTAACTTCCACTGGGCCTGTCCATTATGCATGAAGCACTGTGACATCACATCGGTTACGTGTCATTTGGTCTCTCATCCTCTCCCCAAGGGGAGAAGTGTGGACAGTGGAGTGTCTTGTTTGGTAGAGTTGTAGGGGGGTTGTTTTATTTTAAGACACGCACGTTGTTCTGTATTTACGTTAGAGAAGACAGATCAAAGAAGCGCGCTTCGGCCTTGGAGCGGAAGGTGGGGAGGTTTGGGATGGGCCTGAGTTTCTGGAGAAGGTCATTCTACAGCCTCAAGAGAGATCAGCCTCTCAGGTTTGCTGCCTCCATGGTTAGAGCCAGGCTCCCTTCTCGAATCTACCCCCCTCTAAGGGGCAACTTGCTTGGCGTGAACACAGGGTAAGACAGGCATTTGCTCCGGCTCAGCGCCTCTCTTCCCCCAGCTGCAGGATCAGGTCCCCTGAGCTCATCCCTGTGGAATGCAGCAATTAGCGCAGTGGAGGAGGGGGAGAAGGGGAAACGGCACGCCCTTTTGGCAGAGGAGGAGGACAGACTGGCTCCCTGCGAGTTGGGATGTGAGGAGGTGGCTTTGCTGCAGATGCTTCTTGTAGAAGGGAAGAAATGGCCTTCTGGAGGCTGCAGACCCAGCTGGCACTGATCCCTGAAGCGGAGGGGGGCCAAGAGGCGCCTTGCCCTGACACCGGGGGTGAAGAGAAAGAGGGGATTTTTTGCCAGGTAGGCTCTATCCTGTGATGGTGTCTCCGGGGGAAGGGAGGGAATCCGATTTAAACTTTTCCCAGCCACAGGCAGCGTGGAGCGGGGCACTGAGCTCATGCTGAGGCTGAAGGGTCAATGGTTCTTTGCAGGAAGAGATGGTGAGGGACCTATTACTTGGTCTTCTGTGTAGCTGGCTGGCTCAGAGGACTGGGATTCTGCCTCTGGACAGATGCCTGGGAATCCTTCTCCTCTGATCCCTACCGGGAGGCTGGTGTGAATTGGGTTTGGTCACCGGGTCTCGCTCCAGATCCCGCAGCTCAATAGCCAGGTTCAGCAGAGAGGCCGTAGGCAACGGATGCCCCTAGTGGAGAGCCCTGCCAGGGGTCAACGCTAAGCTCCACTGGCAGGACAGTAATGGGGAAGCTTGGCTTGCCAGGCTATTCCATCTCTGTGGGGATGGAGGGTACCAGTCTCTGGGGCTGGCAGGCCAACACCACAACAAGGCAGCAGTAGGCTGAGAGGAAGGATGGTCCAGTGGTTAGGGTGCTTGCCTGGGATGGGGCAGACCTACGTTCAAGTCCCTGCTGTGCTATAGGTCCCTTAGGGCTGTGGACAAGTCACCAAGGACCAGATTTTGAAAGGTGACTAAGATGCAGCTAGGTGCTAGTGGGAGTCCCAAAGGCACGTCACTTTTGTAAATCACACTGGGCGCCTACGCTCCTTTCAAAATCTGCCCCGAAGTGCCTCCGTCCCTTTTGTAAATGGGACTTTTAACGCTTCTAAAGGGACATCTGCACTGCAAAACAAAAACAACCCCCGAGCAGAATCTCAGAGCCCACGGCTGCCGACTCAGGCACCCAGGGCTTGTGCTACGGGTCTAAAGAGCAATGGAGATGATCCCGCTCAGGCTGGAGGCCCGGCTCCGAGCCCGTACATCTGCGCTGCTGTTTTTAGCCCTGCGAGCCCGCGCCAGCTGACCCAGGCTATGAGACTCGCTGCTGCAGGAGTGGGGGTTTGCAGCATAGACAGATTCTAAGGCACTTCGGAATTCGTGATAATGTCCCCTGAAGTCTTTCTGTGGTCTCAGATCCACAGCTGTACAAGGGGGACAACAGCATAGCCCCACCCCAAGGGATTTGTGAGGATCAGTACATGGAAGACTTTGACCTGCTCAGGTATGATGGTCACAGGGGCCAGCTATCTAGACGGATGGAAGAATTCACATGCCCACGCTCAGAAAGACACAGCATGGAGGGGTTAGCGTCTCTGCACGTGGGGGCCACAGGCTTTGTTATCAAAAAGCAAACAGGGCCGTGGAGCATTCCCCCCGCTCCTCACGTTGCTTTGTGAGGCTCTCTCACGTGGACAAGCTGTGGCCCTCTCTTCCCCGGTTCTGTTCTCACACGCTGAGAAGTAAGCTGGCACGAACATAAAACCCCAAGCACCTTCTTTCTTCCGCTCAGCTCTGAGAAAGAGACAGTCTGCTTCTCACAGCGGCTCCTGGAAACTTCCTTGCCTCGCCCCAAACAATCCCTCAGCATGCTAGATCTCTTTCCAAGTCCTTGCCTGCTGAACCACAGAGGAGAGAGAGTTGGCTGGTTACTCATCCAGCACCTGCAAAGAAAAGCGCCACAACAAAGCAGGGTGAACGGGAAAGATTCAGTGCAACAATTAACTCATTCTCCTTTGCAGCAAACCTGGCTTTAGGGAGAACTCTAGGCCCTCGGGAGTAACTGTAGAGAAATCGGGAGAGGGAATGTGGTTGAGTGGTTAGAGCAACAGCGTATGTGTCAGCACTCCTGGGTTCTGTTGCTGCATCTCAGTGTAAGTCTGGCCCAGTGGCTAAAACAAAGGAGCAGGTGTCAGGACTCCTGGGTTCTACTTCTCTTGGGTTCTTGGGGGGAGCACGGTCTGGTTGTGAGAGCAGGGGCCTAGAAGGCTGAACACCTAGGTTCTTTTGCTGACGCTGGATGGGGAATGTGACCCTAAAAATTAAAACAGAGGCATTATCGATTCTGTTCTTGACCCTGCCATAACCCTGCTGGGTGACATGGGGTATTTAATCAGTCACGACCTGCATACCTCAAAAAGAAAAGGAGGACTTGTGGTACCTTACAGACTAACCAATTTATTTGAGCATAAGCTTTCGTGAGCTACAGCTCACTTTATCGAAAAGCTTATGCTCAAATAAATTGGTTAGTCTCTAAAGTGCCACAAGTCCTCCTTTTCTTTTTGCGAATACAGACTAACACGGCTGTTACTCTGAAACATGCATACCTCAGTTTCCCTTCTGTAAAATGGCAATGACACCACCTCAAGGGAGTGCTGTGAGGCTTAATTAATCAATATCCTTGGCTGAAAAGGTGCTAGAGAAGCATGATGTTAATACATGGCAGGAGATCAGAAATGATGGTTAGCCTTCTCTGAAGACACTTAAGCAAAACTCCAGAATAGTCTCTGTGAATAGGCTAATTAGGCAGCAACTCCAATAGAATGTACCACCCAGAAGAAAATATAGCTGACTTCCAGATCTTCTTTAACCAGCTACGTCATTAAACTGCTTTGACATACTTCTCCTACAGGACACAATCTTCACCCCCTTCCTTCTTGTTCGGGGCTGCAGCACCTTAAACTACTTAAATATCCCCCCAAAGCAAATGACTAGAAAACAACTCAAAGTCATGTTATGTATGTATTGCCCCAATGCAAACAAATGCAAGATTCTTCAAGTTCATGGACTACCAACATGTAATGTTCTGGATACAAATGACTGCAGAATTAATGTAGAAACAATACATGCATCCTCGATTATGCAAATAATAGCAATGAAATTAAGTTATGCATTGCATGTAAATCCATATATTTAATTCAAAAATAATAAAAATCATGAATTAATTTGCATGTAATATACCTTCCAGTACAACTGGCTGGAAACCACAATTAAAAATCCTGCATTGATTTTCATATAATTTCTTGACAAATTGAAAACATCTCAAATTGTGATTTTTTTTTTTTGCATTCCAATTAAAGTAAGTGGAAAGCAATTGTAAACTATAAATGCAGCATCCCCCTTGCATCAAATAACTGTAAATATTAAAAACCATGTCATGTATACATGTGAATTAGTTATCATATGGATAACTATCTTAGAAAACTTAATAATAGTCATGCATTTTTTCCATGTAATATCCTCCAATGCAAATAATTAGATAAAAATTTAGAAGAGTTCAGTAATTAGACAATTAAATGACCTGGATTAATTTCCATATATTATACCCCATGCAATTTTGGGAGGTGGAGAAATAATGCTTAAAAGCCCATACCTTAATTTGCCAATGCAAATAGATGGGAGCGAACAATTGATAACCAGAACCATAAACTGGTATGGAGTGCAAACATAATGCTGGCCCGCCCATACATTGAGGTGGCTACAATGTACTTGATATACGTGGCTCCGTAGTACTTGATTTGAACAAAAGAGCCCGCCCCGCTCCACAGTAATTTACAGATCCTACCTGTGGGGCATTAATTTATATACAAGACCCCCGCCCCACGGTCCGGTTCTTTGCATATGCAAGATTCCCACCCCGTTGTACATTAGCTTACAACGGAGGAAGACCCTGATCGGCCGTGGGTTTATTTACATGCAAGACCCCACCTTGCTTTGCATTAATGTACATGCAAGACGCTGCCTTGCTTTGCATTAACATGCACGACTCCGCCCTGCGGCATATTAATTTATATGCGAGACCCCGACCCGCCATGAATTCATTTACATGCAAGACCCTGTCTTGCTTTTGTATTCATTAACACGCAAGACCCCGCCCTACTTTGCATTCATTTTCATGCAAGACTCCCCCGATCGCGGTGCACTAATTTACATGCAAGACCCTGACCTGCCTGCTTTCATCCTCCCTGCTCCTTGGGGCGCCACGCGCGCGGCAGCAGCACCCCCAGCGCGAGCCCCGGGCTCACGAGCAGCCAGCGCGCGAGGCGGGGAGCGCGGGACCGCCCCAGCGGGAGGCCAGCGCCCGGCAGCAAGGGGCGGGGCCTGCAGGCGCGGAGGGGCGGGGCCGGGGGGCGGGGCCGGTATTTCTCGCGCGGGCGGGCCCCCGCCGCCGCCTAGTCGGGTCGGAGCCGGACCGGTGGCATGAGCGAGGTGCGGAGCGTGTGCACGCTGGCAGAGGTGCGGCCGGGCGGCGACAGTCCGGTGAGTCCCCCCGCCCCGCTCCCTCCGGGCCTGTGGGGGGCAGGGCATCCCCCCAACGGGCCAGGCGCCCCCAGCCCCCGCATGGGGGTGACCAGGGCTGGCCCCGGTGCAGGGCTGGGCCGAGGTCTCTGTGGTGCTGCAGGGCCCCCCTCAGTTCCGGGGGGGGGGGCTCCGTGACCTCGTCTCCCCCCTTGTGGCTTTATGGGGGACCCCACTCAGTCCCTGGGGGCTCCTCCCCCGGTCACACCTCCTCATTGGTCCAGGGGGGACCCCCATAATCCTGGGGGGCTCCCTCAGGGGCTCCCTCAGCTGGTCTCACCCCCTGGGGCTCTGTGGGGGACCCCTCAATTCCTGGGGGGCGCTCTGCGAGCTGGTCTTACCCCCTCCTGGCTCCAGAGATTCCCCCTCAGTTCCCTAGTTCAGGACTGATCTCCTGTACCCCTAGTGGGGGGCACCCTCTCCCCTGTGTGTGTGTTGGGGGGTCTCAAAGCTGGATCTAGCTCCTTGTGGCCCCTTGATTCCTGACATGGCTGTGGGTTCCCCTGTGACTTCCGGGCTCTTGTCCCCAGGGCTGTCCACCATCTTGCGATGGAAGTGGCTTTGGGCTTGGGTGCAGGGTTTGTGGTGGCACGCAGGGGGTGAAGGATCTGTGGCACCTCTGGTTCCAGCCCTGGAGGGGGACTCTTGTCTGAGATGAAGACCCCTGCCATGCTCCTGGGGGGTGGGGGGAGGCAGCCCTTTGCAAAGGAGAAGCAGGAGGGACCTAAGGTTAAGGGAGGGTTACTGAGACTCCAGTAACCAGAAAGCCTTTCTGAAACTTTCCTTGGTTGTTGAAAGCTGCCATAGACAGCAGGTGGCTCCTGAGCTGCTTGAAAACAGGGAAGGTTATCAGACCATAATGCAAGAACAGACAGGGCTTTGTTTCAATCTCTTACAATTGCAGTTCTGTCATAAGGTTTTTCCCCCTCCCCTTCTACTAATTTATTTTGGCTTGTAAAAATACTAGAAGCCTTGTTGAATGCTTATCAAAATACGTTATCCTTAAAGTAAAAAGAAAAGGAGTACTTGTGGCACCTTAGAGACTAACCAATTTATTTGAGCATGAGCTTTCGTGAGCTACAGCTCACGAAAGCTCATGCTCAAATAAATTGGTTAGTCTCTAAGGTGCCACAAGTACTCCTTTTCTTTTTGCGAATACAGACTAACACGGCTGTTCCTCTGAAACCTGTCGTTATCCTTAAAGTGTTTGTCGTGTAATCTTGTATTAACATACTGTAGGCTTATTTTCTTTCAGAGTAGCAATTTTTCCCTGTGGCACAAGTGTGTGCTTCAAGTGTTGTATGCTGTCAGGAGAATTTATAGATCAGAATATTGTCCAGGCTAATCAGAAACCTTTAGCCACCCTCACTAGTGTTGTACTCTGTTTTATATTTTTTTGTTTGAAAAAATTTTAGGCGCTCTAGATCTACGATACGAGAGAAATGTAAACAGTAACACCACAAGAATCATTGCCTGCTACACCTTTTATTTATCTATTTAAAATTTTTATAAATACACAATTTATATAGCACTGCTTGATGTGATGCCCACAGACATGGCTCATGTAATGTTTACGACATATCTGGGAAAAGTCATGCAGGCGGCAAATGGTTTTGATATAATACAGATGTCAAATAACTATATCCAGATTGTGCTAATGGAATTGTGTGCTTCGTGTGGAGCTTAATGTGCCTGTAGTCAAGGTGATAATTACATTGGAGATTTTAATAATAAGATTTGAGTAATCTAGGCATTGGCAGTTGCTGGTAGTAAATGTGTTTTGGTTGTTAGAAAGACCAGGTGAATGAGGTAATATCTTTTATTGGGCCAGCTTTGGTTGGTGAGAGAGACATGCTTTCAAGGTTTTGCAAAGCTGAAGAGGGACTGGTTTTCGTTGTGTCACTTTACAAGTAGTTCTGTTTCGTGTGGTTTTTTTTTGTTTTGTTCAAAGTCCTTCTAAATTGCTTTCAGCAGATCTCATTGATAGGAATGCCAGATTTTGGTGTGGCTTACAGTTCTTGACATAGATTGTTTGTTCTTTGGGTTAATGATGAAGCAGAGAAATACTGGATCTGATAAATTGGGTTTTCCAGAACCCCAAGTTTTCGAGAGACAGTTCCAGGCATACCAAATTATCCATTTGGGTCCTGCAGTCAGTCCTGTGTGTCAGTCAATTGATCCAATTTTCTTTCTACTATATAAATATTAGACAAGAAAAAGAAGCTAGATTTTTAATGTCTTGGGGGGAAATCCAGCCTGGAAAAACATGGCTCCCATAAATGTACACTGGATTTCTCCCTTGCAGTTGTTCAACAGAAGTTTAATTGTTTCATGTTTGGTTTCTCATTATCCTTGCTAGTATCAGTCCACTGGGCTTTGTATGTATCGAAGATGACTCATCTTTGAGTCTTCTAATGAGAGAATCCTAACTCCCTGCAGCCCTTCCCTACCATATATGGAACTGTTGCGGTGTTAAGCATGTATTGCATACATGTTATGTGTGGTACTGTAGTAATAAGCAACACTATCACACCTTGTGTCTTCAACACTTGGCAAACATTGCCTAATTACTCTTCACAATACCGTTCTGGTCAGTCCTGTTCCCATTCGACAAACTGACACAGATGAAGTGACTTGTGACCAAGTGATTCAATGCTGGTGTTGGGTTCCTGGCTTTCAGTCTCAGGCATTCTTCCCTGGTCTCAAAAAAGATAATCCTCTTCTTTCCACTGGTAATAGCTCATCTTAAGGGATCACTCTCCTTACAATGTGTATGATAACACCCATTTTTTCATGTTCTGTGTGTATATAAATCTCCTCACTGAATCTTCCACTGAATGCATCCGATGAAGTGAGCTGTAGCTCATGAAAGCTTATGCTCAAATAAATTGGTTAGTCTCTAAGGTGCCACTAGTACTCCTTTTCTTTTTGCGGATACAGACTAACACGGCTGCTACTCTGAATCCTCTTCTTATGTAGCTCTCCAGTCACTTCTTTAGTCGGGTCAACATAATCTTCTGTTTTTAACCCAGGTCTTTAGAACTCCACTAACCTTCTCTTTTTCCTAGACTAATTTTCTTGCTTCTGGATGCTCTTGAGAATAGATAGCTGAAACATACTTTGCTGAGCAATGCTCAGTGTCTCTTCCTTTAATTATTTAACTAATCTGCATCCCTTGTGTTCCTGCTTATTTTTGTTCTTGGTGGGTTTCACAGCAAAGAATGTGCCACGATCACAAATGAGATCTAAAATAAGACTTTTCAAAATATGTGAATCCTAATTCAGCTACTGACCCTATTTCACTTCCCCTTCAACATCAGTTACCTTATTCTGTGGCAGAAATATCTACGTTTGGATCATTTTCAATCTTACGGATTGAAAAAATCTGAGAACGTCAGTGTTAAATCAGATACCACTCCCCGCTCAGAATAAACTCTTGACATCAGAAAAGCCATTTTTTATTTTATTTTATTAAAAAAAAAAACACATAAATCTCCCCTAGCTGTAGATAGATCTTCACAGAAGCGCAAGTAGAAAATGGTGCAAAAATTGTCAGGTTTCCTTTGGCTCTTCCTTAATTCATGACCCCTGTAGTAAATGCTTTAAACATGTGCAATTCAAGGTGTGTTGGAAGCAAAGAAAATTGAGCAAGTTGCATAATCTTTATGCAGAAAATAGCTCAAGGTTAATATGATATTTACTAAGGTGTTGCCATGTGAGGTTTGTTCCAAATATGAGTGTTTTTTAATAGGTAGTACGTAGCACTTACTAACTCACAGACACACCTGTCATGCTACAAAGAACACCTTCTCCCTTTTGAAGAAAATAACTGGGGGCAGTAATATATATTTCCTTAATTTCTAAATTGTTAGTGGTTATTAATTTTTTTTTCTAAAAGAGCAGGAGGGGGAAACCAGCATAGTCATGGTTTTAAATGTAGCTGGAAGGAAGACAAGTGGGATTCATTCCTGCTTTAACTTCATTGCAATCAGTGGAATTACATGGGCCAAATGCATCTCCGAAGGAGTTGAATTTGACTGTCTGTGTAGGGGAGAGATTAGTGCAGACTTCTGTGCGTGGTCTCCTTTTCACTTAGGATTCTTACAAGGTAAATAGGTGCCTGAATTTACGTGTACTACAGCAGCGAGGTTTGGCCATGCTACGAGAGTTCATCTTAGCATTAAGAAAGGAGTACTTGTGGCACCTTAGAGACTAACCAATTTATTTGAGCATGAGCTTTCGTGAGCTACAGCTCACTTCATCGGATGCATTCTCTTCCAACTCCTTTTTTTTAATGGATTTAATTCTCCCAGAAAATTAAGTTAATCAGAAAGGGTTTCTTTATGCTCATGACCCCTTGATTTTAAGCACAAGGAAATCTACCAGAAACTTAATGCAAAATGAATGTTAGCGATCGAGTAAATTTGTGCAGTTTCATAGATTAATCCTCATTTAGTACAAATAGCAATGGAAATTAAAACATTCTGCTGTGTGTACTTGGAGGGGTCTTTGCTTTTCTGTAAGATCAGAGAAAGAATGCGTGATCAGATCACACTCTAGTGAGATCTGATGAAGTGAGCTGTAGCTCACGAAAGCTCATGCTCAAATAAATTGGTTAGTCTCTAAGGTGCCACAAGTACTCCTTTTCTTTTTACTCTAGTCTAAAAGTTTTCAGGACATTTATTTGAATTATGTTTAGGAAGCTCTTCTTAAAAATGTGAGGCACTTCTATTTAGAGGTTGACGCAAGCTATGAAGGATCCATGCTTATGCGAACTTCGGGCAAGCATGGATATGCTTGGAGCTGGTCTATCTAGCTTCTTTATTAAACCTGCATACTGTCAGTGATGTGTCTGCTCCAAACTTCTCAAATGATTGACTTGGGAAAGATTAGTGTGACAAGATTTTAAAGCATGCATGGAATCTTATAGCTGGGATGATTGGCTAAAGTGCCAGCCCCAC